TTAGAAAGCTAGAAGGGGATGGCTGGGAGCCACCACGACTGTCTTTCTTTGCCCAGGCCCGTCCATGTGCGTGTGTGTATGAAGGCACTCACGCAGCGATGCAAGCTCAAAGAATCAAAGCACAGCATGCTGCGCAGCCAACAATCTACAATCATAGCTGGTGAGGAGGCTGTCAGTGCTTCAAACTCAGTCTACAGAACTTGAGGCTGTTGTATGACGTACTGGCGACAGCCAAACTGGTTCTTACCACGGGGGTCTGAGTACGGAATTGAAGATTTGCTATATGTGCTGGTGTCCTTGATCGCTCGCTCTTTCGGCAAAACGTTTGCTGGAATGGGCGCCAGACTACCTGACAGTCAAGGCTCCGATCAGCACTCAGTTCCAGGTCCAGGCCCGGTGAGTCCTGTATGAGCGCTTCGCAAAATGCCACAAAACATGAGCGTTTCAGTTTCTTTCCAGCCGTTCGGCTCCGAAGCCGTCGCCAATCTCCGCACCTCGACTCCCGACAGGTGCCGATGAGCGCCCCGTAGGTGACCTGCATTCGGGGATCGCAGCGCGCGACAGAAGGGGATCCCAGGCAAGTCGCAATTTGCCAGGTCACCGTTTTGATTCCTGCGTTCAAATGGTTTGCGTTGGTTGCCTATGGTAACTGAAAGCACTGGGTCAATGAGAGAACGTCTGGGGTGAGAAAAACAGGTGGAAGGACAGGCTTCCTCTGCGCCATCATGCGAACACGCCATGCTGGGGCCCGCCTTGACACAGTATGAATTGATTCTGCTAACATGAATTCGAAAAGGAATGTGATATCTTAACGCGATTTCAGGAAAGCGTTCAGATTCGAAGCAATTTGTCAGCCTACGGCTAGCACCGGAAACCAGTCCTGGGGGACCACAAATCAATCTGTTGCGGGCACTCATCTTGAAACAAAGGCTGCTGAAGCGATTTGTGCACGAACTCATGGGCACATGTACCCACAGAGTCCTCACTCTGTTTTCTGATAGCAACGGTGTGTCGCAGCTAACTCAAACTGTGCTCACCTTTCAGCCAGACCGACTTGGCCCGAATGAAAGCCCAAACACCTGGACGCTTCCCTCCAAGGGAGGGAGACCCTGCTTTTCCAAGCCAAAACCTGTTTTTAATGGGCAAAACCAAAAGGCGTGAATGGAAAATGGGAAATTGGGCGAGAATGGAGGCTTCAAAAATTGAAAAAGTCGTGGATTGGAAAACGGGCTCCACCCCTCCCACCCCCACACGCCTCTGAAACAGCAACTTGTTGGCGCTGCAGCCTCGCGCCCAGTGCCAGCGCCTCAAAGCTGAAGAGCTTTGGCGCTTCGCTCAAGATCAAGAGCTGGCCATGGGTCAAAATCCAAATTGTACCCCCAGTGAACATCCCAATTTTCACTAAAATAGGTTCTAAAATGGGTGGTGCACCTACCCCAAAATGGTACCATTGGTTTTGACCCAAAGCCAGCTGTGGTTCAGCGTCGCTGCGAACGTTCCAGCCAAAGGCTTCAACCTCCGGATGGTGTCCAGTGCCCCCTTATTTGAGGCGTTGTTTGCTGGAAGCTCATGCTGCCAATCACCCTGGCAGTCACTCTCTGCCTCCTCCCACTGTCCACTCTTCACCTGGCCGGCGTCGAAGGGTAAGGCCTTTCCACGAGTGTTCCACATGATCAAGGCAAGTGAAGCAGCCGCGGTCTAGGCATTTCTTCCCGAATCATGAACAAGCTGATTTCTGATAGTGTCCCTATGGCAAAGTGGCTGGCTGAAAAGCGGAAAACATGGGCAAACAGTCGGCAGTTCCAGCATTCGGCGCAAGAGTTGACCAAAATCTGCGAGTGTCTATGTCAAAAACCCTGAAATAAGAACTGGATCCCAAGTAAAAGGATCTTCAGCATGGCTCGTTTTTGCCCCCAAAGCTCTGCTTTGAGTCTAACAGCGAAGCCAAGCATCCGCCGGGGGCGCGTGGAGACCCAGGGCTGCGTTGAGCGTCACCTTCGACGTAAACACAGGGGTTTAGGGTCAGGGCAAAATTATCGAACACGTTGCCCTGTCCGCATTGTGGCCATATACACATGTGTGTGTGTGTGTGGGTCAAAAATAGGGTAACCCCAAAATGGAACCCTGGTAAATGGGACAAAACCTGCGGTCCCCTGGTGACTTAATTTTGACCCATACCTACATGTTTGTCCTATACACATGATTGTGCTTTCATGTAACTGAAGGAGTACTTCACCACCCCATTCTGATAATTCAGGCCCTGGGGTACAGGGTGAAAGTACGCACAACTCCCTTTCCGTCGGTAAAGGATCATGAAACCAAGATGGGCTAGACTGGAGCCAACGTTTACCCAACTAACTGTAGGTTGGATTTGGGGAAGTTGGACTAGACATGCGAGTGAAGTGCATGCCACTTCGGCTTGGGGTCAGCGGGTCTTATGAAATGTTGGTTCCAGCCACAGCGGTCACCCGACGTACTGTGTGACCACCTTTGTTTGCAGAAGTACAAATCCAATAATAAACATACAGCAAAGACACATATGTATACAGATATATATATATATATACAGGGCGGCCACAAAAAGGCCGGTGCTTTTCCACATGACGCTGAATTCGCACTCTGATGCTGCATTCCCAAAACCTGTGACGCCGCGTTCCCTGACGCCACATTCTCCCCTGACGCCGCATTCCCGGCTGACGCCGCATTCTGACGCCACATTCTCTGACGCCACATTCCCAGCTGACGCCGCATTCCCGGCTGACGCCGCATTCCCGGCTGACGCCGCATTCCCGGCCGACACCACATTCCCACGCCACATTCTCTGGTGCAATACTTTCGGCTGACGCCGTGTGACTTCCGCGTTCCCTGGCACCACATTCACCCCTAACGCCGCATTCCTGGGTGACGCCGCATTCCGACGCCACATTCCCTGACGCCACATTCCGATGCCACATTCCCTGACGCCACATTCCTCCCTGACGCCGCATTCCCGGCTGACGCCGCATTTCGACGCCACATTCCCTGACGCCACGTTCCTCCCTGATGCCGCATTCCGACGCCACATTCCCTGACGCCACATTCCTCCCTGGCGCCACATTCCTGGCTGACGCCGCATTCCCGGCTGACGCCGCGTTCTGACGCCACATCCCCCCCCCCCCCCCCAACGCAGCATTCCGGGCGGAGGACGCGGGTTAGCGCCACATGCGCCCGAGCTTTGGACCGCCATGCTCGTTTCCAACACATTTCTATCTTCTGTTCTGCTTTTGGATGACCGGCGCGGGGACCAACTTCTTAAGCGATTTGGACAACAAACGCATCCTTCTTTTCTTACAAACGCTGACTGGCTGAGGGCAGCGGGCCCCCTCTTTGAAAACAGCATCTACTATGTGGGGCGCCGTCTATGATAAGAGAACGAGATTACCACGAACGCTCGCTGTCAGCATGCTTGAGGGAACTTGGCTTCAGGGAATTCGTCTTCGCAGTTTGTCTTCGGGGGGGAAGTCGTCTTCGGAAATTCGTCTTCGCAATGCGTCTTCGGGAGGGATTTCGGCTTCGGGGGAGAATTCGGCTTCGGCGAATTCGTCTTCGGGCGGGAATTCGTCTTCGGGAAATTGCCTTCGCAATTCGTCTTCGAGAGGAATTCGGCTTCGGGAGGAATTCGGCTTCTGGGGGGAGCTTGGCTCCGGCAAATTCGTCTGCGCAAATCGTCTTCGGGTTGGAATTCGTCTTCGGGAATTCGTCTTCGCATTTCGTCTTCGGGGGGGAATTCGGCTTCGGGGGGGAATTCGGCTTCGGCAATTCGTCTGCGCAAATCGTCTTCGGGTTGGAATTCGCTTTCGGGAATTCGTCTTCGCAATTCGTCTTCGTCTGCGGGTGGAAAAGTTATACTGCCCCAGCGGCTGCAATACATATGTATGTATGTATGTATGTATGTATGTATGTATGTATGTATGTATGTATGTATGTATGTATGTATGTATATACATATATACACATATGTATATGTATATATATATATATTCTGCTTTTTTTGGGTGTTGTTCGTAAAACTGTTTCCCACATCCCGGGCGTCGCGCCGTGGTGGGCTCCAATTGATCCTGGCGAGGTCAGCGGATTGGCGGCTCTCCCGCAAGTGCTCTGGGCGGAAGGGCACGGTTTCGCATCCATCAAGAACTTCCTCGCAGAAATTGCGCCTGGAGCATACTACTTGATGCCAGGGCAGAATCTTGATGCTGCCCAGTGCAAGGGATATTGTTTTTATGTGTATATATATATATAACAGCGATGTCTTTGAATATGCTGGAGAGTTGGAGGACACAAGGGGGCGTGCAACAGCCTTGGGCTGACTGTGTCATGCCAGGGGCACTATGCTGAGTGGCACAGGTCGGTCAAATATTTGGACTTCACACCAACAGTTATTAACACGTATCACCTACGACCGGCGCCCCGACATACATGAACTGCACTGCGATTAGAGTGCGCTTGGCATCGCCGTCTTCCTATGAACTCAGTTTTGAGTCCCAAGGTCACAAGCCTCAGACATCTCAAAAGCCAAACGCGGCACCAGTGTAGCAAATCCACAACTCCTGCCTTACCATTTCTTTTCTAAATGGTGTCAGCTCCCTACTCAAAGCAGCCTGGAGCCCCATCACCATGTCAGCCTGCTGCGGCTCTTCAAATGCTGAGAAACCTCCAAACAGCGAAGCTGACAGGACTCGAAGGACGCTTCTTGGGAATCCCCCTCGTCCGTTTTTCGTCTCAGTGACCGCAACAAAATCGAAAACGCCTCGCATACGGATCCTGTGGATTGCGCAGGTGTCCTTTTGGTAAAATAGATGGCGCTGGTAAATGGAAGAACAACATCTAAACCAGTGCCATCCATTTCTAACCACACAAGAGCGATCAACAGAACACCTGTGGTAGATTGATGTTTTGTTCCCGTGAGCACCTGAGAAGCATTGGCTCCTTGCGCATGAGGCTCAGCAGTCGCTCGGCCTGCTTCAGGTTGACAGGCGCGTCCTGCGGAGTGCCCGCTAGCCATGGCTGCGTGAGTCATGGTGTTAACATCCCATATGAGTATCTGTGTTTCTAAACCAGCCCCACGAAGGGTGCACTCCAAAGAACACACTCATGTGTGGGACATGGTCATGGGACATTGGTTCCCTGAATTCACAAAAAAACCTCAGACTGCTGTCCACATCCCTGAGGCCTTGATGAGATAACTCTCCATGCCGACCCCTTTTGTGGCCGGGCTCCAAAAAAGCACAAAAAGCAAAACACGGAACCCATCAGCTCCTTTCGCTTCCCAGCGGCTCCTGGCCGATGGCCACCAGGGCGCTGTTGTAACACGCCACCGTGGGCATCAGCTTCCGCTTCTGGCGCGAGCGCGCAGCGAAGCGAAGCGAAGCGAAGCGAAGCGAAAAGAGCGGAGCGGCAGGTCGGAGCCGAGGCGCGCGAGGCACCCCTCGGTGGCTTTCTGCTCCCCGGCTAAAAGTTAAAGTGGTTCAATGGAAAACCCATTAGTTGGCAAACAGTTAAAGTCCTGACATCCAAGCAAAATGCACCAAAGTCGAGGTTGGCTGGGATGGCTTGGGGTTCGCTCATTTTTGGGGAAGCTCCCACGAAACAAGGGACAAGCGCAGCACTTACACACCGAATGGGCATACCCCCAAAGTCAGGCGGTAGGAAAGGGCTCTGCAGGGGGCGGTACAGGGCTCACAGGGGGGTGACTGGAGAATCTCATGGAAGTTAGGCTTTTTGTAGCTTCTTCTCTCGGTAAAAACCGAACTTCCCGAAGATTTTGCCGCCAAACCCTCTAACACACAGTTCCCACCCAAGCAATGTATTTTTGCGTACTTGGAAGACCCTGTGCCCCTGCCACTAATCTCTTTTGGGGGGTACTGATTTTGGGGGGCGATTGTGTCCATTTCAAGTATGAAAGTAGGACCTGACAAAGGCATTGAAATGCCCGAAAACTGCGCCAAAAAACAAACAGCCTGGGCAATCAACACGTCGGATAAGAAATATCATACGACCCTGAGTGCCGCTGTCTCATGATCAATTCGCCCCACAAAAGCCGCCTTAAAGAAGGGGAACCGAGAAGCGACCAACCGTTCAACACGGGGCAGGTGGGGAAGGGCTCTCTGACGAGCTGAACACAGCCTCAAAGGGCACCCTTTCCCTCGCCCGAATAAGGTCGGTTCGAACCCATGTCTCAACCTTTGGGTGTGGTACAATGGTAAAGCCATTCATTTGTGTCCAATAGATCTCGCTGCGATTTTCCTTGAAAAACGGGCAGTTTGACTCGGGGGTTGGAATACATCCCAACCAGTGCCCCGCCCGAAATGGGTTTGTCAAGACCAAAGTTTCGCTACCGGATCCAACTGTGAGGATTACCTGTGGATATATCTATATATATATATATACATATAATACTTCAACACGGTATTATGCTCCAGATTGCACCAGAATCGTGCCATCCATTTTAATACAAAAGCCACAGCTAACCCTTGCACCTTGCTGCTGTCTCCGTCAAAGAGTGGTACCCCAGGTCACAACAGCCCCAGATTCAAGAAGCAAAAGCGCCAAAATTTGCTTGGATGTCCTGGACGTTTCTCAGCTGCTGCCGCACTTGGCTGCTGTCTCCACCGCAGTCCGCACGACCCCGGGTCACACCAGCCCCAGATTCGGTGCGCTGGATGTTCCTCAGCTGCTCTTGCACCTGGCTGCTGTCTCTGCCAAAGCCTGGAATTTCCAAGCTGACAACAGCCCCAGATTCGTGGATGGCAGCAAAAGTGCCAAAAGTTCCTTGCACTGGACGTTCCTCAGCTTGCACCTGGCTGCTGTCCGCGCCAGAGCCTGGATTATCCCAGGTGATAACCGACCCAGATTCAAGAATGGCAGCAACAGAACGAGAAGTTGATTGGATGTGCTGGACGTGCCTCAGCTGCGCTTGCACCCGCCGCTGTCTCCGCCGCATTCTGGATCCCTCAAGTCACAAATCTCGTCCCCGTGGCCGTGCCAGGCAAACGCCTCGTGCGTAGCAGCCAGTGCGCCAAGTTGCACCACCGCCACCACATTCCCATCTTGCAGCCTCACTCAGCGTGGTCGTCAAATCGAGCTATTGGCCTTCGCAGTGAGCTTCAAGCGGCGCTGGAAATACTGCTGCGCTGCAGCCTTCAGTTTGCTGATGGGCGTCTCTAGTGAGACTGCTGTCGCCTTTTGTGGCCAGAAAGGTTCTTCCGGCTGCGTTCAAGCTGTCAAAAACGAACCGACGAGAAAACGTGTAAATAGGAGGGACCCTCGTCGAATGCCTTCTGGAAATCCTAACCATTGAAGGACAACAAATCTATGCATACTAGAAACAACAAAGAAAGAACTAGACCACGTGAGGTACTCGGCGACATCTGATGGAGTGCGGAGGCTTCATCACAACAGTCGATAGAAATTATGAGGTTCCGTGAACTGGAAAACTGTGCAGCTACGTCAAGCTCGGTCAAGCAATCAATCAGGACATATCATATACAAGAATGCAAAGGCTCAAACTAATGGTAGGTCCACCAATTGTGCGTTCCCTGCCATGTTGTCTTTCCCCGATCAGTATATGTCTCACTTTGGCTTAGCTCCGGGTTAGTTCCACCATGCTCCACCGTAGCCCCAAACACCGCGAGGAGATGTGTCATCATGCTTCGTCGACGCTCATTTTCCTCATTTGTCCGAAATCTGGCATGCGCCAAACAAAACCTTTCCCCGCACAAGAAAAGTCCCACATTTGTTAGAGCCGAACTCATGAACAGTCAACCAGCCAGCCAGCCAGCCAACCGACCAGCAAACCAAAACCAATCAACCACCAACCACACACAGGATCCAACATAACGTTCTTTTTCCCTTCTTTTTTTTCGATCCCACTCTGCCTTCATGTTTGTCAGCATCTGCTTGGCCTTCCTGGCATTGCTAAGCCAAAGCAGGCAGCGGCTGAACCCCGGTTTTGTCAGGCTGAACCTAAAAAGGGATGGAATAGACCGAGGATTGCGCAAGCAAACGGATATGGACAGAGATTCGCATCCAGCCAGGCAGTGGCAAACCTGTCAACGGCGTCGAACCCCTAAAACAGCGACTGGTGCAAGCAGTGTGGCATGCCGCAAGTGAGAAAATACAGATTCAAAAAAAAGAGAGGAGCGATTCGTGATAGATCAAGATCCTCTGAACACAAACCCTCTTGTCAAATGTCTTGACTTCGGGAACTTCGGGCGTAGCGTGTTTGCCAGGGTCAAAACTCAGAGGGACCGTGGGCCATGGCCATGGCTCCCGAAAATTGAAAACCCTTACAGGGGGTTCATGACAATCCCCTAACCAGACCATGGCAAATACGTCTATCGAGATATATATATATATATATATATGTGTATATATATATATATATATATACATATGTATATGTGTATATATATATATATATAGTTAATTGACGCTATGTGCATAGCTGGTCTTCGGAACTTGGGGGAGGGACCATGGTAGGCACAACATTTCCATAGCAGGCTAACAAATGCCAAGACTGCGTGAAAAAGTCCGAGGTTGACGCTACCTTGCAGCTTTGCGATCTCGAGATGACATTGAGACCAAGCATTCGTTTCCATGTGCAATCAATTATAGAATATTATCTGGGCTGCCCTCAGATCCCCCGCTAAAAGTTTAACTTTTAGTGGGTTAAATGGAAACTGCCACTAAACACTAAAAAGCAAAAAGGCTAAGGAACCGGATGGCTGGGAGCCACCAAGTTATACATATGTGCCTCCTGCTGGAGGCGCCTCCGCTTTCGGAGCATCTGAAACCAAGGCGTTGCTTTCGGGCGCTGTCCGGAGCTTTCTCCGCGCCTGCCCTGGCCTGCCAGGCCACAAGCGTAGATGGCCGACTCAGCGCGCGGTTGGCTTCCCTTCAAACCAACCTAAACAAGGGCGGACGCACAAACACATATATATATATATATATATACATATACGTATATATTTTGCTTCAGGGCCAAACCGCAGCCGAAACGCTTGTCTGATTCTTTTGCGCGATGCCTTTTGTTTTCTAGAGAGCGCCCCACGCACAAGCCTAAGTTTACTTGAAAATGGCTTCTTACAAAAAGCTACACAACAGCCAACAAAGGCACAGAACTAGCTATTGTGAAAGATCCTGAACTCGCTTCATCCCAAACTCTCAAACAGGCAGGGAAAAAGCCCTCGGCCTGAGTCCGATAAATTGCCTCGAAGGAAAGCGGCCCAAGACCTGGCCCCCGCCGGGCCCCCGCACGTTCCAGAGCTCAGCATCCGGCTGCACCGACATCTTGGGCGCCCAGGCCAGCAAGCCCAAGGCCTCCGTATCTCAGCAGATCTGGTCCCATAGCCAGATGGCCCCGGGATTGAAGAATTGCGGAGCGACGGTCCGCTCCACGCTCGGCACGTGCGTGGGAAATCACTCTGAATGAACAAGCCAGAACAACCGCCTGCGCTAGCCGAGCGTGCACGTGGAAGGGGCGATCTTGGGTCAAATATTGTTCCTTCTGATTTCTCATAGCCGGAGGCCTGGGAGCATGTACGGTTCAAAATATCGTCCAACAAATCATTTCCTGCATTTCTTGCTGTTTCAAAACCTTGCATACATACATTATATTACACTACATTGCATTACATTACATTGCGTTGCATTGCATTGCACTGCATTGCACTACATTACATTACATTACATTACATTACATTACATTACATTGCGGTGCGTTGCGTTCATTGCATTGCATTGCACTACATTACAAACATTACAGAATACCATACCAATAGAAACCAAACCATACCATACCACGTATACACTACACTACACTACAATAAACTACACTGCACTGCACTGCACTGCACTGCACTGCACTGCACACCACACTACACACTACACTACACTACACTACACACTACACTACACTACACGACATGACATGACATGACATGACACTACACACTACACACTACACACTACACACTACACACTACACACTACACACTACACACTACACACTACACACTACACACTACACACTACACACTACACACTACACACTACACACTACACACTACACACTACACACTACACTACTCTACACCACACGACACTACACTACACTACAGTACACTACATGTTGTGGTGTGTAGCGTAGTGTAATGCAAAGTAATGTAATCTAATGTAATGCAATGTAATGTTTTGTAGTGTAGTAAAATGTAAGATAATGCAATGCAATGTAATGTATGTACGTAATGTAATGTCATGTCATGCAATGTAATGTATTGTCATGTAATGGAATGTAATGGAATGCAATGTAATGCAATCTAATGCATGTACGTAATGTAATGTAATATAATGTAGTGTCATGTATTGTACTGTAATGTGATGTAATGTAGTGTAATGCGATGTAATGCAATGTAATGTAACGCAACGTACAGTAATGTAATGTCATGTAGTGTAGTGTAATGCAATGTATTGCTATCTAAAGTAATGTATGCAGCGTAATGTAATGTAGTGTAGTGTAGTGTAGTGTCGTCTGTGTTTTCAGTAGATTACATCACATTACGGGCGTGTAGCCAGCTTTACACTAAACGTCAAGAGCCAGTCGACCCAAAGCATCGCACACTTCGTGAGCGGCAAAACCAAACCAACCGCACATTGGCCAAGCGCCGGACTCTTTCCCACTGCATTCCTCGCGAGCGAGGTTGCCCAATAATTGGGTATGTGTCATTTTCGGGACCCCAAAGTGGGTGGTTTTCGCTCTGGTGTCCCTTTCAAGCAACCAGCAAGTGGCACCCTCAACAAAAACAGACACCAGTTGAGATTCAGGTGTTTGGGGAAGATTCATGAGAAGGGCATGGGTCCGCCAGGGATTGTGCGGCCTGAGCCAGTGCTCTAAGGGCGTACAGATTCTAACAAGTTGCTGACCTATACCGCCCAGCGGAAAGAGCTATTCCTCTTCACAAATTGCAAAGCGTCACAGAGTGTTTCACCAGCCGCTTGGTATCCAGCATGTGTTCAGTTCCCCCTGAGGTTTCAGACTGGGAAAAGGGATGCGAGATGGAAAATCGGCCATTCATGCTGTGTAAAGAATGCCTCTCGGTTGCCTTCTGGCGAAACCCCATGTTGCCTCTCCAACAAAGAAAAAAGGAGCTGCACTAAAACAAATTCAAGGTACAAACAGAACACACACCAGAAAATTATGTTCGAGAAGTGGACAACAGCAGACCAGTGTTGTGGACGCCGTTTAAGGCTTCCCACAAGGGAAGCAAGCGCAGTCCTGTGCCACAGGCGCACAGCGCGCTGGAGACCGCGGCCACAGAGGCGTCGGGGCCCATGTCCGAGAGCCTCAGATTCAATGAACGGGCGATCGGTGCGATAGGGAGGGAATGAGGGAATGAACCCAGAAATTCCCTTCAAGGAAACCACGTTCACTGATTCGGGCAATTCCACAAATACGCTGGTGAAGAGCTACGGACACCGCACCCACAACGAACGTGTGTGGCGAACATGACTGGCATTGCAGGATGGTGTGATCGGACAGCCTTTGATCTGCACCAGCAATTACATATCTATATATGTACAAATGTGGCGGAGAACAGTGCAATTGCAATGGACAAGTAACAAGCATGTGATAGCATCTCGCTAGCTATGAATTGACTGCTAGTCGAAAAGACCAGACGACCCAAGAATGCAAAGTAAGCAGCACGGAATTTGCAGCGGCTTCACAGCTCGACTTTTTATAGTTGGACCAGCACGTCTGACCCGTGGAGTGTTTTTAATGTTCTGGTGTCAACCGCATCTGTTCAAACCCTGCTTCTCATGATATGGGCGGTGAGGTCAGAATATGCTGAGCAGGCCACATTTCAAGGGCAAACTGCTTGACTTCACGAGGAAAAGCTCTGCAGAACCAGGGTGCAAAGCTGACTCCTCTCCCGGGATCCATATCCCCGGAAGCCTTCCATGGGTCCAGTTTCCGCGGCACCCAGGCGGCTCGCCGAGACCCCGGCAGCTGCAGCGACGCTGGCCACCTGCGCGGACGGCAGCGCCCCTGACCCCTCTAAATGGGTATGGCTCAAAATTGAACTACCAGGGGACCGCAGGTTTTAGTCCTTCCATTTACCAGGGCCCCATTTTGGGCACCTAATTTTGACCCACAGGAAAATGTGGTGGGGTTCTTTCCTAGCAGGTCCCGAAAGTCTTAAATGAGCGGCCCTCAAAATGGAACCGCCCTTTTTGCAGGGCCTAAGCCCAAGGAAAGCCCAAGGAAAGCACCCAGCCCCGCTTTTTTTCAGCGGCTTCGGTCCCTCCACCGAAACCCGGCCGACGGATCTGGGCTTCCTGGCGCCGCGGCGGCAGCGCAGCACTTGATGGCCTCGTCGCTGCGCTGGACGTCGCTCGTTGTTGTTGTGTTTGTGTTCTAAAAAAAAAAAAACGTGAGTGACGATCCGGCCAGGGGTGACGAAACTTTTCGGGACCTCGACTAAAATGAAGCAGCCACAAAAGTGTAAACTTTGGAAGCTGAATTGGCGATTCTGCAAAATAAGCATGAGGCTATGGTGGAAAAAACCGGTTGGCAGCAGCTTCTGCTTGACATTGGTCATGCTACCTCAACCCCCCGACCGATGCTGTGCTTCAGGTCGAAGGCCCCCAACTAAGGGAAGCCTCTTTTGGGCACTTCCTCAGCAAATTCACACGGAACCCCGCAAACCAGCCTTTTTTGTTGGAGGACTTTCCATTTGGAGGAACCCCTGCTCGGGCTCCACGTCAATTTGCAGCGAACCAGCTTCCGGGTCTTTTCTCGAAGTCCACGACCCTCGCCTTGCCGACCATCACCTGCGAGACGTCCACCTGCCGCCTCTGCGCATCCTCCAGCAGCAGAACGGCCCGCTCCCATCTGACCGGCGCGACGAGTGCAGAAGCCAAGGGATGCCTCATTACCCGAACCAAACAACAGGACTTTAAATCTAAGAGAAACAAGCACGCATTAAATCCCGACCACGCGCAAAGACGATGCCAAGCGTTCTACTTTTTCCCCAGACCCAAAAACCAATGACTGACCCAAATTTTGACTAACCCGACAGCGGATTCTCTTTGGGATGGTGGTTCACTGGTCCCAGGACCCGGTCTGGGGTCTGGAGGGCCCACCTCCGCAAAAAAATACCCCCGGTCGTGAGGGGGACAAAATATGTCAAGCTCCCGCACGTCTATGGCGCACCCGGTGTCGGAACCATCCCCATCTCCCATCAGCGCAGTGTACCTCGGGTGCAAATCCAGGCAGAAAACGTATGATTCTTCAGATGGCTCCCATCTCAATCCAATTGCTGGCACAAGGGCAAACTGAATGCTGGGCCCGTCAAATTGTTCACTTTAAGGGGCGCATGCAAAGGGTGTTGCTCTTTGAACGCGGCCTGGGCATCTGATGCACGCGTGACATCTGCGTCAACCCGCGCCTATCGCACATGAGTTACCACTGGACTTCATCGCCTTGGCTTAAAGTCTTCGTGTGCCCCGCGTGTTTTGGTGGGAAAGGGCAAACACTCTGCCCAAGGAATGCTATGGCAACAACAAACACCTGGAAATCACGATACCAAATGACCAAACATCAACTATGACATGTTGGAATCGCGCTTGTTCAGTGCCGAACCCTAGCACCCGTGGTGTCTTCAAGGCTCCCTTAGGACGGAAATCGCACACCGAATTGGTTTTGGGAGCATGCCAGGGAGTTCCGCGACTGGGAAAAGCACAAATGGATGCTTCAGCACAGCTTCGTCTTGGTCAAGAGTGCGTGTGACTGCTGCTGTGGGTGTGTGTGTGTGTGTGTTTCCGCCCGTGGATGTGTGTTCTGGTTAGTTTGCCATGGGCACCCGGAACACATTCTTCAACTGGAATGGAAGAATTCTGACGGCTTTGGTTTGTGCCATCCATCGCCAACTCATCGGCAGATAGCTTAAACCAAAGCGTTAGGTACACTCAGCCGGGTTCATTTCAGGCCGCTAGCACGTTGCGAACAATGGGTGTACATATTTTGAATTTGTACCTGTAGGTTGGTTCAAAGGCAAGCCAAAAGGAAACCAATCAGTTGGGGAGTCCGAATCAGTCCAAAACCCTTTTTTTTGCTTACCCAAATGCAATACAACTCAAGTTCAGTCGTTTCTCCCTCTCTCTCTCGCTCTCTCTCTCGCTCTCTCTCAAGTTCTGGGCAACTGAGCACGTGCTGGTTGATGGGTACTTGACGCTCAACCATCTCCTGGCATGGTAGCCAATGTGGCCACGCAAACCAAAAGATTTAGCCCAGCTTTGGCCCCGTCGGAAATCAGTGTTTGAGCTTTTGGCAACACAGCAACACAGACTTCAAAGGAAAAACAACAGGACGTGCAAAAGGCATAAGCACACAGGCTGCAAGCGAAGCCAGAGCAGAATTCTGTCGGATCAGCTAAGGTTCTGCATATGTGGCAATTATACGGGAACCAATGGCGTCGGCTGACAGGCTGACAGCGTAACCACCAGACGCATACAAGCGAAGGAGCGCAAAACAGCTTGTCAGCTCGTGAACTGCAGCCTCTCAGCGGACAGTTACCTTCTTTAGTAGTTTTCTGCCTTGTGGAGGAAACTTGGGCCTTCGGCATCCGGATTCTTCAAATGGGACAAAACGAGAGCGTTGTCCATGTCGCAAAAGGGGCCGGCGTAAATGGTGAACTCGTCGAACTTGCCAATGATGAACTTGACTGTCTGAGAGGCGCCATTCAGGAAGCCATTAACGCAGTCCTGCCTGCCGTTCACTTCGCCCAGGCCATGAAGACCTTCTCGGCCTTCGTTGATGATGACCGGGCTTTAAAAGCGAAGCACGAGCGGGCGCACGAGCAGGCAGTGTGGAGAAAGTGGGGAGACAAGGAGGACACAAGCGGGGAGACAAATGGGGACACTAGCCGAGACAAGCTCCGAGTCAGCCAGCGCAAGCAAGGAGACAAGCGTGGAGCAGGAATGGTATGATCAGCTTCCACGCATCATAACGCCCCAGTGAGTAAGCACAAGCAGGGTGAAAAATGGAGGAGACAAGCAGGGAGACAAGCCATGACAAGGTTCGACTCAGCAAGCACACGCAGCGACACAAGCAGGGAGCAACCACAAGCAGGGAGAGAAAACGGAAGCCGTGACAAGGTCCGAGCGAGCAAGCACACGCAGGGACGAGAAGTGGGGAGACAAGTAGGGAGACAAATGAGGAGACAGCAGGGAGACCAGGGGCAAACCATCTCGTGACTGGGAGCATGAATAGAGAACCCCAACAGCAAAGCTGTTTGAGAAAAAAGAAAATAAGACCAAAAAAAAAAAAAAAACACGGCCAAAACATCCTGCTTGCGTGAAGGCGAACCTTTGCAGCCCTTCCGCACAACACCCGTGCCCCTCGACCTTTCATCCCCACGTCCGCTCCCGGAAGAGCTCATAGGCGGCGGCAACCTCCCCAAGCCTAAGGCGGGTTCAGGGCACAGGGAGCCGTTCACATGAGCCCAAGAAGTGCACCCTGTCAAGCAACCTGTCAAGCAGTGCTCCAAGAGGTCTTTTTGAGTCCTTTCTAGGGCAAAGAAGGCAAAACAAGAGGGAGGTCATTGAGCAGCGATGCCCAGGTGAAGCACGCCTTGTGCTTTGCACCTCAGGCTTTCTGCTGGGTCGGGTTCCTGGATTGGCTTCGACAGCCGATGCCAATCTCAGTGTTCCTCGGCGTGCTTTGGTGTTGGCGCATGCTGAAGGGCTGACAAAAACGCTGACTGAGCAAGAGTCGCTGATGCATTGGTGGCATTCAGACAGCCTGTCACGGGGCTTGTCAACCAGCTTCGGCAGTGCTAAACTTGACGGCGGAAAGGAGAAAGCTACAACTATGCTGATTTCGTTGCACTCTATAGACGGGAAGGCTGAGTCGCCGGCCATCCTAAAATCGACAGGCATCCTCAAACAATCCTGCTTCCCGCCGCCACTGGCAATGGGGCAAGCACGGATTCGCTCAAGCACACGGCCCACGCTGTATGACAAGCAAGTGGATTGTTCAGAATACCAATCATGGAGAAGGTGGCTTTTGCATTTCCATTTGCAAGGGTCACAGAAGCCAAGGCCTTGGAAAGACGAAGACTTGAACATGGCCCCACTTGGATCCTGAGGTCTCTGCTTTTCCAGAGCAGTCATCTGGACCTCAAGGGCACAAGCATTGCCACAACATCCGTATCTCGAACTCCTGTAGGAGCTGCATACGAAACGGCGAATCAAACTGTCAGCGTTTAGAACTAACTCGTTCCAAGGAAATAGACCTGTGCATTCTGCTTGAGCCGGACAAAAAGTGGTTTCCGCTGATTCTAAAAGCCTGGGGCCTGGCTTTTCCTCTGACAAGGTCAGATTCCAGGCCACACCGCCCCGAGATCACGGTGCACGATAAGCGCTTCGCCCCCAAAGCCGCATGAGGGTTCGCTGGGAGCCCAAGCCGCGTATCCATAGGCATCCGGCTGTTGGCCTGGATCCAAAAGGCACCCGAGCAAGGTTGGGCCAACTTGTAACATGTGTAAACCATTTCCCTGCAAAGGGGAGGGTCGATTCTTGAAGCACGCTCCCACGTCGCCCGGAACTTGTCTGGGGCTGAACCCATTGAAACCTGGCGAATTCTATAGCACAACCAGCGTGCATGGACCCGTTTCAAGGGACCTGCTGGCGGGCGCCACGTTAGTGCTGCCCATCTGAGGCAAGATAAATACTCATTGGCGTCCCCCGATCGACATTCTCAAGAAACTTTGGTGAGTGTGCCCCATGTCGCCCGCTGTACTAACGCAAGTGGCAGTACATGCTTGCCGTTGCTCTGGGTTTTCTGTCAGCTGGCCCCTCAGCACGCGGCCCAACGCCATGCGCTCGCTCAGCTCCAGCCTGCGCGCATAGCAGTTCATCGACCTCTTCGGCGGTATTTGACCCGTCGTTGCTTTGTGAAGCAAAATGGCCTGGCTGCGTTGAATACGACACGCCAATTGTGGTACGTGGAGTTTCGGGGAGGGGGGGCTCATGTTTACTTGTGAGCGACTGGAGGCATCTGGGCATGTGTCCAAATAAGGGGGACCCAAAAAAAAACGGATTTCCTTTAGTCTCCCCTGCAGAACCACCCAACAAGGGTACCAACTCAACCAAAGACCCGTCTGCCCGTCTGCCGGACCGGCCGAGCCGCCCGGCACGCGCCGCCACTGGCCAGACTGCAGGCACGCCGCCCGGGCTGCACCCAGCATCCTGTAGCGCGTGCTTGGATCGCGTTTTTCGAGGAACCGATGTTGGGGGTCCCCACGCTTGGGCACTTGTCATTTTTCAGGCAGCATGTTTTAAGGTACCTTTTTTGTTGGTTTAAATTGAAACCGAAAGGACACCGCCCATTTGAGCAGGCTTCCCCCAAGAGACAAACCGAAACCTGAAAGTGCCTTTGAAGGAAGACAAGGCGCAGCTGGCTTTTGATTGTAACGCAATGCAAACAACATCGTGCGCTCGGCGTTGCAGCCAAGTCTCTTCACATCAACCTTGCGCACAACGCCCTGCTCCACAACCTGTCTGCATCTATCGGTCGAACAGGGGTCTTCACTAGTATGGGATTCAAATTTGGAGGACCCAACAACTGGCGCTGTTTCCCTTCAAACACGTATCTCGATTGCTTTGGTCAAGTATGTCTCCAAGGCATGAAGCAAATCACGTGGGTCAAAGCCACATGCCTGCGATTAACTTGGCTGCCTTTGCCGCCGCCCCAGATTAAACCAGACACAATAGCATGTCCTGCTTTGCCCAAGGGGTGGCAAGCTAGCATCTAGCTCCAGCCAACTGCACATCAACATGCATGCACAAGTCAACAAGATGCATGTGTTATCGCGTTTGCTTTGCTCCAGTATGTCTCCAAGGCATGAAGCAAATCACGTGGGTCAAAACCACATGCCTGCGATTAACTTGGCTGCCTTTACCGCCGCCCCAGATTAAACCAGACACAATAGCATGTGCTGCTTTGCCCAAGGGGTGGCAAGCTATCTAGCTCCGGCCACCTGCACCTCAACAAACATGCACAAGTCAACAAGATGCATGTATCGCGACATGGCGTTTGCTTTGGTCAATCATGTCTCCAAGGCATGAAGCAAATCACGTGGGTCAAAGCCACATGCCTGCGATTAACTTGGCTGCCATTGCCGCCGCCCCAGATTAAACCAGACACAATAGCATGTGCTGCTTTGCCCAAAGGCACGGCAAGCTAGCATCTAGCTCCGGCCAACTGCACATCAACATACATGCACAAGTCAACAAGATGCGTGCATCGCGGTATCGCATTTGCTTCGGTCAATTATGTCTCCAAGGCATGAAGCAAATCACGTGGGTCAAAGCCACATGCCTGCGATTAACTTGGCTGCCTTTGCCGCCGCCCCAGATTAAACCAGACACAATAGCATGTGCTGCTTTGCCCAAGGGGTGGCAAGCTAGCATCTAGCTCCAACCACTTGCACATAAACATACATGCACAAGTCAACAAGATGCGTGCATCGCGACATCGCGCTTGCTTTGGTCAATTATGTCTCCAAGGCATGAAGCAAATCACGTGGGTCAAAACCACATGCCTGCGATTAACTTGGCTGCCTTTGCCGCCGCCCCAGATTAAACCAGACACAATAGCGTGTGCTGCTTTGCCCAAAGGGGTGGCAAGCTAGCATCTAGCTCCGGCCAACTGCACATCAACATACATGCACAAGTCAACAAGATGCGTGCATCGCGTTATTGCGCTTGCTTTGCTCCAGTATGTCTCCAAGGCATGAAGCAAATCACGTGGGTCAAAGCCACATCTGCGATTAACTTGGCTGCCTTTGCCGCCGCCCCAGATTAAACCAAACACAATAGCATGTGCTGCTTTGCCAGAAGGGACGGCAAGCTAGCATCTAGCTCCGGCCACCTGCACATCAACATACATGCACAAGTCAACAAGATGCATGTATCGCGACATCGCGTTTGCTTTGCTCCAGTATGTCTCCAAGGCATGAAGCAAATCACGTGGGTCAAAGCCACATGCCTGCGATTAACTTGGCTGCCTTTGCCGCCGCCCCAGATTAAACCAGACACAATAGCATGTGCTGCTTTGCCCAAGGGGTGGCAAGCTAGCATCTAGCTCCGGCCAACTGCACATCAACATACATGCACAAGTCAACAAGATGCATGTATCGCGACGTCGCGTTTGCTTTGCTCCAGTATGTCTCCAAGGCATGAAGCAAATCACGTGGGTCAAAGCCACATGCCTGCGATTAACTTGGCTGCCTTTGCCGCCGCCCCAGATTAAACCCGACACATTAGCATGTGCTGCTTTGCCCAAAGGGGTGGCAAGCTAGAATCTAGCTCCGGCCACCTGCACCTCAACATACATGCACAAGTCAACAAGATGCATGTATCGCGACATCGCGTTTGCTTTGCTCCAGTATGTCTCCAAGGCATGAAGCAAATCACGTGGGTCAAAGCCACATGCCTGCGATTAACTTGGCTGCCTTTGCCGCCGCCCCAGATTAAACCAGACACAATAGCATGTGCTGCTTTGCCCAAAGGGGCGGCAAGCTAGCGTCTAGCTCCGACCACCTGCACATAAACATACATGCACAAGTCAACAAGATGCATGTATCGCGACATCGCGTTTGCTTTGCTCCAGTATGTCTCCAAGGCATGAAGCAAATCACGTGGGTCAACGCCACATGCCTGCGATTAACTTGGCTGCGTTTGCCGCCGCCCCAGATTAAACCAGACACAATAGCGTGTGCTGCTTTGCCCAAAGGGATGGCAAGCTAGCATCTAGCTCCGGGCAACTGCACATCAACATACATGCACAAGTCAACAAGATGCGTGCATCGCGACATCGCGCTTGCTTTGCTCCAGTGTATCTCCAAGGCATGAAGCAAATCACGTGGGTCAAAGCCACATGCCTGCGATTAACTTGGCTGCCTTTGCCGCCGCCCCCAGATTAAACCGGACACAATAGCATGTGCTGCTTTGCCCAAAGGGACGGCAAGCTAGCATCTAGCTCCGGCCAACTGCACATCAACATACATGCACAAGTCAACAAGATGCGTGCATCGCGGTATCGCATTTGCTTCGGTCAATTATGTCTCCAAGGCATGAAGCAAATCACGTGGGTCAAAGCCACATGCCTGCGATGAACTTGGCTGCCTTTGCCGCCGCCCCAGATTAAACCAGACACAATAGCATGTGCTGCTTTGCCCAAGGGGTGGCAAGCTGGCATCTAGCTCCGGCCAACTGCACATCAACATACATGCACAAGTCAACAAGATGCGTGCATCGCGGTATCGCATTTGCTTTGCTCCAATATGTCTCCAAGGCATGAAGCAAATCACGTGGGTCAACGCCACATGCCTGCGATTAACTTGGCTGCCTTTGCCGCCGCCCCAGATTAAACCTGACACAATAGCATGTGCTGCTTTGCCCAAGGGGTGGCAAGCTAGCATCTAGCTCCGGCCAACTGCACATCAACATACATGCACAAGTCAACAAAACGCATGTACGGCGACATCGCGTTTGCTTTGCTCCAGTGTGTCTCCAAGGCATGAAGCAAATCACGTGGGTCAACGCCACATGCCTGCGATTAACTTGGCTGCCTTTGCCGCCGCCCCAGATTAAACCAGACACAATAGCATGTGCTGCTTTGCCCAAAGGGGCGGCAATCTAAATTCTAGCTCCGACCACTTGCACATAAACATACATGCACAAGTCAACAAGATGCATGTATCAGCGTTATTGCGCTTGCTTTGCTCCAGTATGTCTCCAAGGCATGCAGCAAATCACGTGGGTCAAAGCCACATGCCTGCGATTAACTTGGCTGCCTTTGCCGCCGCCCCAGATTAAACCAGACACAATAGCATGTGCTGCTTTGCCCAAAGGGACGGCAAGCTGGCATCTAGCTCCGACCACCTGCACATCAACATACATGCACAAGTCAACAAGATGCATGTATCGCGACATCGCGTTTGCTTTGCTCCAGTATGTCTCCAAGGCATGAAGCAAATCACGTGGGTCAAAGCCACATGCCTGCGATTAACTTGGCTGCCTTTGCCGCCGCCCCAGATTAAACCAGACACAATAGCATGTGCTGCTTTGCCCAAGGGGTGGCAAGCTAGCATCTAGCTCCGGCCAACTGCACATCAACATACATGCACAAGTCAACAAGATGCATGTATCGCGACGTCGCGTTTGCTTTGCTCCAGTATGTCTCCAAGGCATGAAGCAAATCACGTGGGTCAACGCCACATGCCTGCGATTAACTTGGCTGCCTTTGCCGCCGCCCCAGATTAAACCCGACACAATAGCATGTGCTGCTTTGCCCAAAGGGGTGGCAAGCTAGCATCTAGCTCCGGCCACCTGCACCTCAACATACATGCACAAGTCAACAAGATGCATGTATCGCGACATGGCGTTTGCTTTGCTCCAGTATGTCTCCAAGGCATGAAGCAAATCACGTGGGTCAAAGCCACATGCCTGCGATTAACTTGGCTGCCTTTGCCGCCGCCCCAGATTAAACCAGACACAATAGCATGTGCTGCTTTGCCCAAAGGGACGGCAAGCTAGCATCTAGCTCCGGCCAACTGCACATCAACATACATGCACAAGTCAACAAGATGCATGTATCGCGACATCGCGCTTGCTTTGCTCCAATATGTCTCCAAGGCATGAAGCAAATCACGTGGGTCAAAGCCACATGCCTGCGATTAACTTGGCTGCCTTTGCCGCCGCCCCAGATTAAACCAGACACAATAGCATGTGCTGCTTTGCCCAAAGGGACGGCAAGCTAGCATCTAGCTCCGGCCAACTGCACATCAACATACATGCACAAGTCAACAAGATGCGTGCATCGCGGTATCGCATTTGCTTCGGTCAATTATGTCTCCAAGGCATGAAGCAAATCACGTGGGTCAAAGCCACATGCCTGCGATTAACTTGGCTGCCTTTGCCGCCGCCCCAGATTAAACCAGACACAATAGCATGTGCTGCTTTGCCCAAAGGGACGGCAAGCTAACATCTAGCTCCGGCCAACTGCACATCAACATACATGCACAAGTCAACAAGATGCGTGCATCGCGGTATCGCATTTGCTTTGCTCCAATATGTCTCCAAGGCATGAAGCAAATCACGTGGGTCAACGCCACATGCCTGCGATTAACTTGGCTGCCTTTGCCGCCGCCCCAGATTAAACCAGACACAATAGCATGTGCTGCTTTGCCCAAAGGGACGGCAAGCTAACATCTAGCTCCGGCCAACTGCACATCAACATACATGCACAAGTCAACAAGATGCGTGCATCGCGGTATCGCATTTGCTTTGCTCCAATATGTCTCCAAGGCATGAAGCAAATCACGTGGGTCAACGCCACATGCCTGCGATTAACTTGGCTGCCTTTGCCGCCGCCCCAGATTAAACCAGACACAATAGCATGTGCTGCTTTGCCCAAAGGGACAGCAAGCTAGCATCTAGCTCCGGCCACTTGCACCTCAACATACATGCACAAGTCAACAAGATGCATGTATCGCGACATCGCGTTTGCTTTGCTCCAGTATGTCTCCAAGGCATGAAGCAAATCAAGTGGGTCAAAGCCACATGCCTGCGAATAACTTGGCTGCCTTTGCCGCCGCCCCAGATTAAACCAGAGACAATAGCATGTGCTGCTTTGCCCAAAGGGACGGCAAGCTAGCATCTAGCTCCGGCCAACTGCACATCAACATACATGCACAAGTCAACAAGATGCGTGCATCGCGGTATCGCATTTGCTTCGGTCAATTATGTCTCCAAGGCATGAAGCAAATCACGTGGGTCAAAGCCACATGCCTGCGATTAACTTGGCTGCCTTTGCCGCCGCCCCAGATTAAACCAGACACAATAGCATGTGCTGCTTTGCCCAAGGGGTGGCAAGCTAGCGTCTAGCTTGCATATCGGACACAAGATGCACATACTTACAATGCAAATTACGTGCGGCGAATTCAACCTCCTGCTGAGGCTATCAAAGTTGTGGCGTTTGCAGCACCTGCTGCTTTTTCAAAGTCCTTTTGTTTGTTCCTATTTGCCTGGACTTTGGGTGGTGACAACCCGCATGCTTTGCCAAGAACTGGACATTCAAATGGTGTGAAAAGCTTTGCTTACAACATATACGTATTTTTTCGCGAGGTTCCCGTTACTCACTTGGATTCTCCGCACGTCTTGCAGTTTCAAGAGGGCTTCACCCTCCAGAGTCCCTCAAAACCCCCCTTGGAGCAGCTGGCCAGCCCTGTCAAAGGAAGGACCGAGAGGTTACGTCTTGCAAAAGGAAGGGCAAGCAGTCGCCACAAAAAGTCAGGAAACCCCGAATGCAAGTGAGTACAAAACCTGGTAGCGGGAAGGATTAGGGCTATTTCTGGCTGGAACTGCCCGTCTCCAGTCTTCTACCCATGGTTTCATTGTGGCCCAAATCCGGAATTCCTTGATTTAGGAATCCATGGCCCACGTTTTAAAAGCCGCACATTGGATTGCTCCAGTTGCGCCTTGAACATCCCGGCCCGCCTCGCGCAGCACCTGCAGCGACAACTCCCAGGCGCCCGTCTGCGCGCCTCGCACGGGCGGCATAGAAGCGATTCACTGAGATGCCATCCTTTCGGTGTGTCTTGAAAAAGAAGACCCAAAAAATAGGTCTTTCCAGTGGTTTCCCTTTAAACTTCACGGCGAAAAGGGAAACGCACACCCAAACGATGGTCAAGAAAGTACAACCTCAAGCACTACACTGCCCTGACTTCGCGAATGTCTCCACACAATGAGAGCCCTGGAAAGAAACAGAAGGGAAATGGATGATCGCAAACCCGTGGACTGCTTCAGCCAATGTCTCAACCCTGGGGCCAGCGCAAAGGTTGATGCCATGGACGTAGCCTGCCTCCTTGGCAGCGTTTCGATTGCGACGTGCATGTGGCAGGAAACAGGGCTGCATGGCAATGCTAGCTGGGCTGTTCAAAACGGGGGGTCCTTATCCTCATCCGCAATCCGTAGTGGAACACCACTACAAGGCAGGCCATTACGATTCATCTGATAAGGATTGACTACTGTATTCGGTGGACGTGCAGCAAACCCGCTCTCTGGATTGCGTCTCGCAACCTTGGCCGGACACCAGCAGCCTTAAAGCGTCTCAGAAATGATGGATCAAGAGATGGTCTGGATTTGCTATTGCAGTTGATGACGCCAACAACTTCTGATCCTGTGTCGCAAAGGGAAACCGGCTGGACACCAACGTTTGGACATCCTGCCTCACGCTGCAAACTATCCCAGTATTCTTTGGCACGTTTCCTTGCCATCAATCCATCCGCTTCAATTCCCCTCTGCCGGCCAAGCATGCGCGCCAAGTACCAAGCTCTTGGTTTGTTTCCCGTTCTTCGTTTGACAGCTGCGCCTCAGGTTCTCTGCTTTTCGAAAAACAGGAAACCGAGCACCAGCGCAGGATTCAGCATTCCAAATTCAGGGATCCGGATGCATTATACACCTGAACATTGCCTTGTTAATGGTGGTTTCCCTTTATTTTGGTGTTGAAAAAGCCATGTTTCAAATGGGCCAAATGTATCTTTTAAGGCGCCCTGAACTTCCAAGCAGCTTTCACAGCTTTGAGCTATCAGCCGTTTGGGTCTCCGGGCAGGTAGAGTGCAAGATCCCAGGGCTTGCTCCAAGAAGCCGAGGCCTTCTGCCTGGTGAAGCGAAGGGAAGGCTCCACTCTTGAGCAAACGTAGGGCTTTTAAATCGCACATTGCACATTGGATTCCAATACAAAGCACGGGAGGAACTAAATGATTCTTCAGATGCCATCGAATCATTGATGCCTCGAGTGGTTGGGGACAGCGGCGGGCGCTTGATGTCCAAGACACTCAATGAATCTTGCCATGAGCATAAAGTATTGCGATTGCTGCTCTAGTGGTTTGGGGTACGGTGATTCTTTCCAGTGAAGGCCAGTCTGGGGTGAACAATGTGAATCCTCCCAAGAGAAGAATCGTGTGTAGAAACAAAACGACGTTTCACAAATCTGTTCAGGATGGCCTTCTGTTTGCTCGTCTATGGTTGTGTTTGTTTGATGGTACGATTTGAAGGTTCTTTGGCTGAAATCTCCCAGTTGACACGTTCTCCCACTTTGTATACATCCACAGAGATCCTGCCTGTTTTCCTAGGCTGCGCTGACAGCCAACACCAGCGATCAAGACCTGGAAGTGGCTACCTCAAGGCTTTGGCTCCACCAGAAGAAAAACCAGGCAGCAGGGAATGTCCGCAAAGTTGGCCAAGAGCGGTTCAAATCGGTTGAATCGGAGAGCCTGGGCCCCCAGGCGGCCCCTGAGCGCGTGCTGGCTCTCAGCACCCCGGTGTAGGCCTTGCAAAGCATGCCTTCCACGCCAGAGCCAGGACCGGGAAAACGGAGGTGGAATGGGGGGGGCTGGAAGTGGCGATTGAGTGGGTTAGTGGCTGCATATCCCCATCCAATTCGAGGGGGCGGAGACCATGTGATTCACACCGAACCTATTCAGCGGAAACTGCTGCGCCTCAAAGCCAGCCTGGTTGCTCAAAAAGGGATCCATGGGTCAGAATCCGGGCATCCATAAATCACATGAAAAAAAAAACATAGATAATAATGATAATAATACAAAAGGGGGAGGAAAAAAAAAAGAAATACCGCGCGTGGACACGAGAGACTCGGCAAATTGACCAAGCCCCAGCGACAAATCTCGAAGATTGTTGGTCAACACTCACGATACCGGCAAATATGCGGAAGAACTAGGATAATTAGAACACTTCGAGTAATATCAGAAAATCATGTGTCTGGAATTCACCCAAAATATCAATGACTAGAACAGTTAACTTAGCTATGTAAAAAATGATGGTGACGCTCAAAAGGGGTAGGCTCGCCAGGTAGCTTGGAGGGTAAGCAGAGCCCAGAAAGGAATTCGCGCTCGAGGGCTGGCCTGGGCATCCAAGTCCGGAACGCTGCACAGCACCCGGCTCAGCTCCTCGGTCGCGAAGACGCGAAACCTTACAACCACACGGACCCAACTGATGGAATTTTGGGGGATCCCGTTGAATGGGTTCTAACATATAAATTCTATCATATGGGGTCTGACATATGGACTCTATCATATGGGCTCTAACATCCATAATACGGGTTTCTGTCAGAAGCCACACACACGTGATTGTGCTATTGTTCAAACTGGGATCCGTTTATTCGAACCCGGTTCGCGCCTGAGAGGTGCTCAGTAGTCTCCAAAACCCAAGCCCCCGGTGCAAGGTTGGACCCAAGTTCAGCACAACTCTACAGGCTGATCATGAGGAACCCCTTTGAGAGAAGCGGCCCGGAAACAAAAATAAGGACATGTGGCTGTGGGTCAAAAATAGGTACCCAAAATGGAACCCTGCTAAATGCTAAATGGAGACAAGGACTAAAACCTGCGGTCTCCTGGTGGTATAATTTTGACCCATACCCATGTGGCTGTGGATCAAAACCAATGGTACCATTTTGTGCTGGGTGCACCACCCATTTTACTCTATTTTAGTGGGAATTGGGATGTTCACTGCGGGTACGGGATTTTGACCCATGGCCGTGTAGCAACAAGACAAAGAAGAATATCACAGGCAAACCGAGGGCTTGATGGATGCCAGACACTGGTAACGCTGAGTGAGGGAGTGGCACTAAAATGGGACACTCCCCAACGGATCAACCGGTTGACTTATACTACATTCCCTATGAAAAGGATTGTCTCCAAATATAAAACTATCCTCATGCAACCAAGCGAATCCCAGTTGAGTTACTCCAAGCTTGTTGCACTGGCCCAAGTTCGTGTCCCTGTCCCGTTCCGGCCTCTTTCCTCTCCACGCGTTCTGCGGCCGTCACTGCAAGACTGAAGCAAGGCCTGACTCAGAAAATCGGATGGAACAACGGCATGGGACTGCTTTCACTGAAACAGCCTAGAATTTAAGCTGGCTTGTGGCCGCAAACTGTGCAAGGGCCGCTGGCATCCTTCCCTATGCTGGTGATGCCAGGGATGCAGGTGTTGCTGCGGCACATCAGTGCTCCCCCCCCCCAGCCCCCTCCATGCCAGGATTTGAATACCCATGAATCATGTCCTGGAATCGACAAGCAACTACACAATCCGTAAATTTGAGGTTGCCAAGTGATTGGTCTGTTTTGAAACTGTTTGGCATGTTGCACTTGTTTCCCTGAACTCTGTGCCATTCTAGAATTGTGCTCCACACATACAATTCTGCGGTTCAGCTGTTTCCTGGAAACATGCTTGCAGAAAGCTTCATTGAATAAACAACATTGCGCCAGGTGACTAAAACTGTGTTTCAAAGTTGAATATTGCCTTTGTGCCTTGTTCTGCTCTTTCCCCGCCCAGCCAACTTTGGGGTGTTGGATGCAAGCTCTCCAACTTTTGTTCATGCTCCCTGCAACAGTGGACATGAATGTTTCACGGGGTTGCCGATATTGCAGCCAACATGCTGCAAAGGCACCAACTTCAGAGCACGCCCCAGGCCAGCCTTTTACAACCAACGAGCATCCCAGCTCTCCTTTGGGGAAAACCCTTGGGCCAGCCACGCATAGCTACGTGCGAACTCTGATTGACCCTTTGGACAGAAGAAATACCTGGGAATCCATGTTCCGACCATCACATTCCATGCCCAACTTTTGATGATCAGCCGCACCGAGGCTTCGCGCGTATCAGGTTGCAGCTGGAGAGGCTCCATGTCAAAGAAGAGGCCCAAGACCTCGTCTTAGCAACTCACCTGCTGGGAATAGTTTTTGTATCTAAGTGGGCCATGCCCATGACGTTCTCACACAGCTACCAAGTTTCCAAGCATGGACCTGTTAGCTTCACTGGTCGGGAAAAGTTCGAAGACTATGAAGAAATGGTCCATCGGCATATTTGTTGCTAGACTTCCAAAACGTGAAATAGGAATCGGATCCTCATAAACGGTTGACCCCCGAGGTGAGCCCGCCGCAAAGGCGGAATCCCTCGGTCCCCCTCGCCTTTCCAGCCTCTGGCGTGCACCCCTTTGGCCGAGCACAAAAATGCAGCTGCCCACTTGACATGGGCGCGGATCGCAATGCCAGAACGCTTCAGAAAAGGGTCTACTCTTTTGGAACGATGGTTCGGCGGAACGGGTCATAACCGAACAAGGCAACACTTGGGAAAAACACGCAATCTTGACACATGTTGGATACTCTTGACTCTTGATGTGAGGGGTGCCTGTTTTTGGTGGAATCAAAGAGAAACAAAAGGAAAGCCACCAAAGGGTTGTTGTTTGGTTCGGGGCGGGATGCCCTACATGCATATGTGTGAGCTCCCGCACGGAGCCTAGGGGCCCAACGGCCTCCCAAGCGCCGGCTTTGGAGCACCTTGAACATCCGTGACCCCCCGACAGCCCCCCCCCCCATTCGGTGTCCATAAAAACACATGGTGTTGTTTGTCTTATAAACTAGTTTTGTTGCTGTCTATGATGTCTACAACAATATATTGTTGTTGTTTGCTGAAACCTATGACGTGCATTGAAAGAAATGGAAAAATGAGACTGTTTCTTGAGGAACGAAAAGGGAGGATCAAAACACGGAACACCTCGACTGCTGCTTTTGTGGATGAACTCCAGAAAGGTGCACGATGGTCCTATATAGCACTGAACCACTGTCCCTGGCTCTGCGACTTCCAACGGCATGTTGATTTGATGTTGGCTCTAGGGAATTTTGTACATGAGTCTGAAAATAGTTGCACCTGTACCTTCATCACGGACAAGCACATGGGTAGGTCATGAGAAGCGGAATTCGTATCACATTACGTGGCGCCTCCCTCATCGTCTGATATGACCGGCTCCCTACAAACCTATCCGTGCCATGCACACCAAGCATGGAATCCTCGACCTGCCTACCTGCAAATGGGATGATACCATGAGGAAGCCTGCAAGCCTCCTTCCTTCAGTGCGGCTCATCACAAGAAACGAAAGAGCCTCCAGCAACTTCCAAAGAATAGTCAGTCTCCCAGGGAAATCAATCAGCACCCATTTGACAGTTGATCTTTAGAGAGAAACCTCCTTCCCCCAATCCAAGGAAAAACAGCCCCACTGGAGGTCTGGGCTCGATCCCCCCCCCCTCCGGAATCGCACCCCCGCACCCGGAACCCCGATTTCATTGACCCCCCCCCGGAAACCGCCAAGCAGCGAGTCGATCACGAAGGAGAAGTCCTGCTCCTGGCTTACATCCCGACTCGACTCGAGTGAACATCCGGATTTCTACATGACCTCAGATTTCAACCAAAAAACACTTCAAGCCTGCCAAGCTGGATTTCTGACAATACAAAAGACATTGCTGGCTTTTAAACTTCCGCCTCACAAGCTATCCCAAAAATTGCCCAGCTTGATTGGGAAAGGACCTCACATCCTCAATCTCTATCTCAAGACTGGAAAGCTGTGAGGTCGCTGAGACCCGGCCTGAGGAAGTCGTATCTCACTCATGGGTTGCCCTGCCCCTGCCTGCAGTGGAACTTGCGCCTTGCCGAGTAGGTCAACCGCCTGAGACATGCAACCAGAGCGACCGGCTGCAACCAAACAAAGCGGCAATATCAACCCAGTGTTCCCCCCCAAAAAAAAAGTGATTAACATCCGCTTTCAAACGGGGCATTTTCCATGAATCCAGGGGTTCCATCGCCTTCCCGGCTCTTTCGCTGGACGTCTTCCGGGCTCGCCTCCTGCCAGCGCCCCCCCCTGGCGGCGAAGCGCCACTTCCGCGCGTCGGACCGAGCCGCCGAAGGCCTCGAAGTCACCCCCTGGATGGCTTCAAGGGAAACCACCGATGCCATGTTCTGACTTGGACCACACCTAGAAACAAGCAAAATGATGACCCCAGCCCCAAGAGTTGTCTTTGAGAAATCAAGCCCTTGGTGACTGGGAAGTGAGCGCCTCACGGCTCCCAAGGACACAATCTCCCCAGAAAATATCCCCAGCAATAACCTGTGCGACCACATTCATTTCACGCAAGTAGAACCATGACTCCACGCAGACTCTCACTGCCAGCCCCGCTTGTATCTTCTTTCATCCTTCTACTTTGCCCGTGAAGTTCGCCCCAAGCTGCCTGTGGGAACACCGAGGCTGTGACGCCTTTGCTTGCCTTCTCCAAATGGTTTTCTTGACCGCGTCCTCCTCCGCCTGAGGGGAGTCTAAACGACTCTGCCTCCCAAGTCTGCTTCAAATGAGGCGCGACCATCTAGTTGACCTATGATTCTGATTTTGTGCAAGCCAGAGCATTTTTGGAACCCGTTTAGGATCTCCTGAAAAAAGAAGTCGTCAATCATGATTGAAGGCTGCACTCTCAAAGTTCGAGAAGTTCATTCTTGGTGTCAGGGCCACACGCGAATAAAGGTTGACCCGTCAAATCCGGTTTTCTCCAGTGACACACGCTTCATCCTTCTCCACCCGAACCAATTTGCAAATGTCAGGGAGCACATCCGGGGACTTCTTACGCTCAACGAAATAGGGGCTCCTTGCTATTTTTCAAGCGGCCGTGCTTCACGTGTCATTCGCACCAACCCATTCAGCTGGCCTGATTCAGTGGAGGCAAGGACGGCAGAGCTCCAGCCTCTCACAAGTGGATATGAAACTTGAATGGTTGGAAACCGTCTCATGGCTTGGTGGTTGCATAAATCGACCCGCGCGTTGTGATCACCACCAAAGGCTCCAACTGAGTAAAACTGCCCAGTGTGGAGATGCTGGAGTTCCATTCAGCCTGCATGTGGATCAACGAGTGCGGTCTGAGAAGTGGTGTCGAAGACAAACGCTCCATTTCCCCACTAAATCAAATCATGTGTTCGGCCGAAACTGCAATGGCCTGCCTAACTGCAAAAAGCGACAGCTACAACTTCCTTTTCCAACGTCCACTAAGTGGTTTGAAGCCCATGTTCATGTGGCATGTTCAATGCAAGGATAGAAAGTATAAATTATAAATAAATGATGAGGAAGGTGCTACTTACGTTACTGCTTCTGCAGCTCAAGAAATATGCTGCAAACCAAGAAACTGCCTTGCTCTGAATCTCTGAGAACTACCCAATGCGGAATTGAGTATGAAGCAGGTGCATTTATCCACTCGTGCTCCCTCGACAGCAGCCCTTCAAGCAGCAACCCTCTTGCTGTCCTCTTGAATTCAGGAGGCATCTGTGGAGGGTCTGCCTTCCGGCCAAAGCCTAGCATTGTAAGCAAAGTTGTCTTCAACCTAAAAACAGTCGTCCTACCCTCGGAGCCTGTTGGTTAGTAGATATGAGCCATGGTCAAAATTACTTGTTTCCCCAAGAAGACATGGGACACTTTGTGGGTCCCCTTTTTCCCTGGGCAACTGCTTGAAGGATCACAGACTGCCGGAAATTCTGATCAAACCTCACATAGCCACCCGCTTAAACCCGCCTCGCCCTGGCAAAACCTGCGGCGGCAAGGAAGCAGCACGCGGCAAGCTACTTTTCATGGACCATACAGGGAGGTGTATCAAAGCTTGGTAAGACTGTATTTGGACCATGCTTAACGGGGGGCTGGGGGCCCGTGTATGGTTTCTTAAGCTTTGAAAAATCTCGTGTCTTCTACAAGAGGACATGGAGATGAATTGCCTGGTTTTTGTGGTGGAAATTTGGGGGGATGGGGGGGGATTGTCAAAAGTGGCAATGCTTCGGGACTTGCTTGATACACAGTCTGCGCACGCTTGCAGTCTCTCCTCTCCTGCCACCATCCGTCCCACCAAGGAAACAGAAAACTCGCCTCTGCAGGCGGGCGAAGTGGCCCACGCGAATGCCTGGCGGGCCAAATCGCTGTCAGTTTTGAGAGTTGCCTTCGCACGCACACGGTCTCACCTTCAGCGCTCTCGTGTTGCCCTCCCACATGGGGCGGATGGTTTTTTTTGCCTAGGTTCGGCGCGGCCTTTTGCTTTCCTTGGTTCTGCGGGCTCGCTTTTTGGAACAAACTTGTTGCCCAAGGCACAGCAAAGCCCTTTACTTTTTCGAAGACGTTTGGCCTCAAAAGGCTACAAACTCCGTAGGGGGTTCACCTTTCCGAAGAAATGTGTTGCCAAAACCCATCAAAGTCCGCAGAGGGTTCACTTTTTCGAAGACGTTTGGCCTCAAAAGGCTACAAACTCCGTAGAGGGTTCACCTTTCCGAAGAAATTTGTTGCCAACACCCATCAAAGTCCGCAGAGGGTTCACTTTTTAGAGGACGAGGCCTCAAAAGGCTACAAACTGCGTAGAGGGTTCACCTTTTCGAAGAAATTTGTTGCGAACCACAGCAAAGTTCGCAGAGGGCTCACTTTTTGGAAGATGCGTGGCCTCAAGAAGCTACAAACTCCGCACACTGACCTGTTCGAATATGCAGGGTCACAAACAGGTACAAACTCCACAGAGGGTTCACCTTTTCAAACCGCAAAGTGTTCGAGGACGCTTGGCCTAAAAAGCTACAAACTCCGCAGGGGGATTTGCTTTTCGAACACACTGGGTTTCAAGCGCTTGAAGACGCAGGGCCGTAAAAAGCTACAAACTCCGCAGAAGAACCTTGCCAAAACGCAGCAAAGTCCGCAGAGGGTTCACTTTTTAGAGGACGAGGCCTCAAAAGGCTACAAACTGCGTAGAGGGTTCACCTTTTCGAAGAAATTTGTTGCGAACCACAGCAAAGTTCGCAGAGGGCTCACTTTTTGGAAGATGCGTGGCCTCAAGAAGCTACAAACTCCGCACACTGACCTGTTCGAATATGCAGGGTCACAAACAGGTACAAACTCCACAGAGGGTTCACCTTTTCAAACCGCAAAGTGTTCGAGGACGCTTGGCCTAAAAAGCTACAAACTCCGCAGGGGGATTTGCTTTTCGAACACACTGGGTTTCAAGCGCTTGAAGACGCAGGGCCGTAAAAAGCTACAAACTCCGCAGAAGAACCTTGCCAAAACGCAGCAAAGTCCGCAGAGGGTTCACCTTTTCGAAGAAACTTGTTGCCCCTTTCAGGTTACAGAAAGCCGCGCACCAAGCTTTTCTTCAACCCACTGTGTTGTGCCACGAAAACGCAGAATCCTCCATGGGAGAGGTGATGTAATCCTACAAACTTCGGCTGGGCCAGTGATGTTGGGGCATTGAACATGCGCAATTGCTGTTGCTCCAGGAAACCGGTCGAAGACAAGACATTCACTTTCAAGCTGTAAAATCCGTTCAACCCCTATCAGTGTTTTTGCACTCATGGAAACACGTTGAATGTTGAGGGGCTTTTGAAGAGAACTGTAATCGTACAAGACATGTCACCCAAGCAACCATGGTTGAGAGCTCAAGCAGGCAACCAGTATTTCGATCGTTCTTGGTGGTAGAACTTTAGGTGGCATCTAGCAAACGGCCGTCTTCTTCTGAAGACTGTTGCCCGCTGCAGGGTTCTTCCTATCACATATCAATCCCTGTTCCCACCTATGTGCAACAACTACTTTACTCCATATCACCCCCATGCAGACTGCTTGGCAACCTAGATCCTTGTCACACACCAGAAGGTCAGTCCAACTTCGTGCGGAGCCTCAAGCACACTGCGCGCTGATGCGATAGCGAAGAAACTCAGCCAAACCAAACTCTACCATTGACCCCGAACCAATAGCAGCCTTAGCTGTTGCGCAATCAGCGCTTCCTGTTGGGTACGGCTCCTCCGATGTGTCAAAATGACCTTCTTTCGGGGCACGCTTTGCACACACTGTGTTCTGCGCAGACTAATTTCCTGTTTCATGGGGAGGGGACGCGATTGCGCCGGCTCACGCGACGAATGGACGCTCCTGCCTTGTAGCGGTTTGCGAAGACAGCCTTGACGGCACGGATGGTGTGCTGGACGAGGCTGCACTGGTCCGTGGACTGACCGGGAGGCGTGATCCCGCCTTGTTGCGCTGGTTCTTGTAGATGTTGCAGTGCGGTGGCAGGGTTGAGCCAGAGCCAACGTTTTCGACTTTGCGGAACTCTGTCGGTCCCCGGGGCATGGTCCTGTTGCCTCACTGGCCTGCCATTTGACTTGCTGCCGATCACGTTTAAGGACGCATCGGCCTCGCCCAATAACGTCTTGGCAAGCTGCGCACGCTCGCAGCAGGCAGATCGGGCAAATGGCAAGCGTGGGCACAAGTAGGGCTCTGCGCACCATAAAGCCAGGCTGGCCGGCCCAGCACTGCTACTTTTTCGTACAGTGTTGCAAGGCTGCCAAGTCCAAGGAAAAGGTTTTGGGCCTGTTGCCACAAACGATTCCAGCCTCTGCCCCACGGTCATCTCGGAAGAGAGCTTGGCTTCTGTTTCGGCTAAGCGCCTTGCCAGGAGTTTCTGCCACACACTCCCCTTTTCTGAATCCAATCCGCTTCCACCGAAAGGGGCTTCTTGGCCTGACGACAGTGATGCAATGGGGGCTGCGCACAATGCGGCAGCACGCTGCCGGAAGAGCTCGCAAGCGTTGGATCGGCCTACATGCTTCATCACAGCGCCACTCTGTATCGTGGCTGGGCCTGTCCGGCAAGCTTCCAGCAGCAATCTTGTCCAGCTGCCTGCCCAGCGCCTTCAGCGCTTCTGCACACGCTGGGAAAAACTTGTCTGGGGGCAAGGTAGCTCCTGGCCGGGCTGCAGCGTTTCCACCAGCGCTGTGAGCAGACCGTTCTGCGCTGGGACTCGGCGGCTGGCTGTGAGCCGCATGCGCTCCCTGGCACAAATCACGCCTTCCTGGTCGGCTAAGAATAGATCAGTTGCTGCATACTGCCTCTGCAGGCGTCGAGCGGGAAAAGTATGTTTTCGCAAGTGTTGCATTTCTTGTTCGCCGCCCCATCCTTGCCCGTCACAGCAGCTGGAACTCGGCGTGGCACAATGAGGTAGAGCATGTCGCACAGCGCTTTTTTGTGCTTTTCTTGCATTCCTTACTTGGCATCGGCTGTGCACATTTTCCCACATGTGAAAGACATCACTTGCGCGGATGCTATCTGGCAATGCGTGTTGGCGGGCGTTCTCCAGGCTGGCTGCCCAATCGCCGTGGACCTGCCGCACACGCGGCCAAGCTAGAATCCGAAGCCCCTTCTGTAAGCAGAAACGTTTTCTCGGATGGCGCATCCCTATAGCCGCGGGCGGCTGTATGCCTTGGAGTAGAACCCGAAAGGAACGAAGCCATGTTGCGTCTGTGGCGCACTTGATGTGCTGCGGGTTGCCCAACAGCAGACAGCCAAAGGGCAAAATGAGAATAAATGCCATCAAGTTCACAACAAAGGATGGTAAACAAATGGAGACAACATCCAATGAAGACACAGAAGATATTGATAGGATCCTACTAGAGCCAATCATACACGACACAGAAGGCTTGGATCCACAACAAGTGGCAAAAGGAATGAAGAAAGAAGTACAACAAATGAAAGATCAATCCGTCTTCACAGAGATTGATGGCAACACAATGACACCAGAACAACAAGCAAACATCATGGGTTCTCAAACAGAAGCACAACGAAGTACGAGCACGAATAGTAGCAAAAGGCTACACAGAACCTGTTACAGACCACGACCTACTCTTTGCCAGCACACCATTGTTTTGCATACTGAGAATACTTCTCACAATGGCACAATCATTAAGGTACAGGGCCACAATACAAATATCTACCAGCACTACAACCTCACGCGCGATTTTGCGATTTTGCAACACGTGGTCATTCCGCATCGAGACAGCGCTCAACAATTTGGATCCTCTGGACAAGGTTCATGCGGGCCTCACCATGGCTCTACATCACTACAGCTACGCCGCAGTACAACCCATCGCTGAGCCAGTCAGGACAACAGTGATCCAATACATCGTGGGGCATGGAATCCAGCTCACAGGGGGCGGTACAACTCTGGTTGCTGGACAGGCGGGATACTCAGGACATCAATGGTACAACAACCTTGTCTCAACAACAGGGCTACCGACTCCTCAACAAGAAGCTACATGCCATTTTGGCACACCGGAATTTGTTACAGGACATCTGCACAGATAAGGACATCGTTGCACAGGATACAGGCCTGGTATATGGCCACCTTCCTTGCTACATCCTGAACAGCTAGGATGAGTCTGTACACGCATGAAGATGTACAATGAGTTGCGCTTTGTACACTATAACATAGAGGTGTACAAAACCGAGCAGGCGTGTTAGAACATAGTCATTGTACAGCCTTGGTGAACACCCTCATCTGCAATGCATTGTACAATCAAGGCCTTGAGCCTTAGTACAGGAGTAGATCAGATACATCATTGCCCTGGACACAAAAGACTACAGTGCCGCGCTGTCACATAGAGGTTTACACTTCAGGCAAATAGGTTCTGTTCTACACTTTCACATTGAGTTTAACATATACGTATATATATATATACATATGAAGCGAATTCGCATACGCCCGGAACCTGGGCCCTCTCCCCACCCGTCTGCCTGGCCGCCGCTCCTTTCGGCCCCAGCCGCGGACCGAGAATGGCATGAGGGTCCCTCTCCTCTGGGTTTATGTGCATGTGTCCAAGCAGGGGGATTTTAAAAACATGGCGGTTCCCGCATGCGTCATGTGTTGTTTGCTTTTACAGCAACCTGAAAAGAGCACCCTCAAAAACACCCGCCCATCTCGGGATTAACTCCTCATGCTTGAAACTCGCTCCAAAATGGTGGGTGGCTGCATAAATCCAATCTGAGATCATGTCCAGCGAGGTTTATTTTTTTTAACCAGGCAAACTCATCCCCAAATCCCAAACCCCCCCTCCAGATCTTCTCCCCCCTTTCCCCCCATAAGGTCTTTTCCCACCTTTCCCCCCCTACGATCTTTCCCACGTGGACTTGCTGCCAGACAAGAAAGGAATCCAACAAACTTAGACTGTTGTGAGTGGGTCACCTGTCACGGCGAAATTTGCGAGATTGGGACACACCAACATTCCCCACGCCTCAAGTCAAGCGGAGAGCCAGCGCAAGAATCCGGATCGGTTTCTCTCCAAACGTCCCAAAATGGGTGGTTCCAATTGGCTTTCCTTGAAAAGAAGAAGGGTATCCTTGAAAAGTACACACCCAGATCTGCCCAGCGTTGATGGCCAACTTACAATCCCTTGGACCTCCCCCGCAATTGGCTGTCTTTCTCATGTCTCTCCTGATTGGCAAAGTGGACTCACTCATGCGGCTGGCGAGTGGCGCCAAGCTGTCAAAGTACACTGGCAGCGTAGAGCAATGGGCAAACTTCCTTGAAAAGCAGGTCTCCCAATGTTCCTCCTGTTCAAAGAATTGATGTCCACCTCCTTTCACCAATGACTCGTGACTGATTCTCTGATCTTCAACGGCTAGTTTATCAGTATTTTGCAACCTGAGAGTCACACATAGCTTTAACTACAAGCAAGAGCAGGAGCGCAAAACGCGAACCATCTGCGAGTTGGGATCACGAGTCACACCTACCTCCACGCATCGCTTCATTGAAATAGCACGTCCGATTGCGAGTTGGCATTTTGACGCTCGGAGGTACAGTGCTCAAGACGCTTCCATGAGAAACGATGAGCCACCTCGCCGAAGAAAAACGCCTTCAAGTGTCCTGGGTGTCTTGTGCCTCTCTCGCCAGAACCTCCCCCCCCCCCACAAATCACGCGTGCATCGCCGTGCCCCGCCTGCCGCATCGGCCTGAGCTACCCATACACCGCAAAGACTTTTCGGATTCTCCCGTTTCAACTGCTGCCACCACCAAGTCCCCTGAGCTTGCTGCGGGCACCATGGCCGGGCACCACAGGGTCCAGCCTGATCTGCGAACGCTTGAAAACCCTTAAGCTTTTGGCAGAGCTCAGCTACGTGGCTGGGCAGCTCAACAATGGATATAGTCCAAGAGCTTTTTGCGCCCCGCCAGTGTGCTTTAGCGACCCGAAAGACAAGAACTGCACAAAGCCTCCGGCCCCTTGTCAAAGTGAGGCGCTACTTGCGTGTGACCTACCAAACCTCACACTAATCTCTCAAACCTTTGTGGCTTGAGCGGGGTCCAAAAGCTAGCCTTTCTTCAAAGGCTGCATAATTTCATGCAGGGGAAGAAATGTGCCTCCAAATTAAAGCGCAGTCCTCTGCTCTGTCACAAATCCTGACTCCCAGAGTCCCTGCCGAACCTCGTCGTTGTGGCAACTCGGAATGTGATGGTGCGGCCCGGCGGCGCCAGCACGTGTTCAGACCTCAACCAGCGCCTTGCACACGCCGGTGAACAGCCCAGACCTCAATGGGCCTTGGAAGAGAGTTGCCACATCCTTCAGGCCGCCGAAGGTCTTCTTGCCATGCCTCGCCTGAAGGGATTGCTCGGCCAAGCGGCTGACAAGGCATGCTTTGGGAATTCCCCTTATTAACCTGTTCATGACTCGGGCTTGCCGACCCTTACGGCTTACTCCCGATGTTTCTCATCCCTCCTTCCACAAAGGCGCAGCATGGTTTTCCAGTGCAGAGTAGCACGCCATGAAGAGCACCCTCTCGGCAGCTTGCGCATTGATGCCCTCCAGCATCTCGATGACATCTTTTGGCTTGACCCACTGGCCTTGGTTGTTGCTTAGATCGGCGTTGTCATCCCCGCCATGGCCATAAGCGATGACCACGTCGCCCTCTGCACAGGCATACCCTTCATTCTGGTAGACCAGCCGGATCTCCTTGATCTCCGCGCAAACATGCTCAGGAAGCTTCTTGCAAGAGGATGCTGCGAACTCCTGTTGAAAGTCCTTTGCCATCTGGTCCAAGTCGCACTTCGGATCCGGGCGGAAAGGAATGGCAATGACCAGCGTCGGCATGCTGACGCGCGTGAAAGGCTCGCCGGAGAAAGCCCTGCTGCAAGCCGGGCGATAGCTCTTCGCCAACAAAGAGGTCAAGCAAGTGGCAAAAGCGCGCCAAGAACAAACAGATCAATCTACGAGTCATAATCAAAGCCTGGTGCTAAAGCGGTCTGCCCAAAGCCATGCAAAGAATTGCGAGGGCGGATTTCCGCACCAATTTCTGGCTGTGACTGTCCCTTACTCACCTTCACCTACCCGTTCAGGCAGCTTGCCCATCCACCCATCAAAAAGAAAAACAAAAACAAAAACAAACAAAAACAAGGGCTTCTGCTTTACCCTGCCAGTCCCACGTCGGTACCCCATGGCTTCTCGGGCGCCGGCCAAGGCCATGGCGCGGCTCGAACTTTGGCCGTGGCGGGTTTCTGGTTTTTGATTGGGTTCCATGGGGATAGTTTTTGATTACCTGGTCACAACGGGGCATCCAACCCAGGGAGGCTTGGCAGAAGAAATGAGAAGAGAGTCTTGCTTCTTAATAAGATCGCTCATATTTTTGCCGCCTCGAGAGGTAATGGCATCGTTGCATTGCGGTGCGCCCAGCACCTTGCGGGGGCCCAAGCCTGAGAAAGCCACGGCTAAGGTGCGCACCGCATCTTGTTCAGGCCTTGAAGGTTCAAATGGTCAAGGAGGCTTTTCACCAGATGCACGAACAATGTTTGGTGTTTACCCTTAGAGTCTTGGATGCAAGGCAGCAAAGAGGTCTCGCAACGTAATTCTGAACAGCCGCATGAGGATCAAGGCTGAGCAACAAAGGAGAGACGGAGCTGGATCGGTGAACAAGAATATGTAAGAAATGCACGTGGTCGTCCTTGATCAAAAGACTGTGTGACATTGTGACAAAACATGCCGTTTCTTGGCAGGCCTGGCCATTCGGACAGTTCTGGTGGCATAGTGAGTCACGCTAGTCACATACTAAGCAACATGTTCGGCTAGCAAGGTGCTTCCTGTGCTCTGCAAAGAGAGAGTACCTCCATGCGGTCGACCGGCCCTCCCGCTTGGAGTGGGGTGATTCTCCTTTCTGGAAGGCTGTGAAAAAACCGCGGAGTGCCCCAAGCCGGGCCATGCGGGACACAGGCGGATGCGTGCACCTCTTCGAAGGTCTGGTCCTGGCAGGTAGGAGGTCTGCCGGTGGGGGGGAGGGGGGAGACGTTGTTTGGACGTTTTTGGCTCAAAGGGAAACTCAAACGAAAACCGCCACCTGGTACTCACAGCGGGGCGACACCATTTAGAGGGAATACTTCGGTTTTGGCGGGACATGGGAGGACAGCCCCTCATTAATCCGACAGGCTGATTGATCCAGGATCGACTAAACCTAAATCTTCGGCCAAAAGAGGAGTCAGACAAAGGGGTTGAACTCGGCTCTGCCACTGAGTCTGTGCACTGGGGCCTGGCATCCGAAGAAGCACGACATGCCTCTGATGCTGACAAGTGTATTTGCACGCTGTCAAGGTTGCGCCGAGTCTGCGTCCTCCAAACCGGGAATTGGGTCAACAATCGCAGGAGACTCTGCACCATGCAAATTCGCGTAGGCCCGACCAGTCCAGCATCACCTTCTCTCACCTCAACAACTAGAATGGGCATTTCGCACTTGGCCCGTCTTTTCAGTAAACATCGCAATCCCCACCAAAATCCCGACTAAAATGGGTGGTGCACCTACCCCAAAATGGCATGCCGTTGGTTTTGACCCGCAGCCATTTCAACAAACTTCACCTAAACATATTCTCAACAAACAGCTGACTCCCGCACTCCAGCCTTTGCCTCGCAGGACCAGCCGGTGCCTCAGCGAGAGTCTCTCTCCATCTCTCGCGCCCAGTCTCGGCTTTGACACAAATCCTCCGGAAAACCGGTTGGTTCAACTGGGTTGGTGGAAAGACTCTGCAAACATCCCATGGAGAAAAAAAAAGGGGGGGGAGAGTGTCCTTTCGGTGGGTGAGATGGGTAAACGTAAACTGGGGCCGAGCGAAGTTCCAACACACAGTGCTTTTTGGGAAGCGGGAAGTGTCCCAACAACGAAAGCACGTTTGGAAACAGCCATGGGGAAAGATTCTCCGCGGCTTCGGTCATGTCCACGCTGCACAGACCGCCCTCGAAGACGCGCACTTCCGAAGGGCACAATTACAAGCTGCTTCGAAGGGTTGGACAAGCCAAACAAAGCCCAACCATCAGGCCCCCCCCAACACAAACAAATCAAAATCCCCCCCTTCCAGAAAATTGCCCCCATAAAGCACAGCCAGGGCCACAAGGGTATTTACTCTGAAACCATCCTGGTGTTTGTTTGTTTTTTCTGCAGTTTCTCCTTTGCTCCTGCCCTGTACTGACTTTGGAAAGTATCCCTCGAAACGACCCGTACACATTCGAAAGGTCCCTTCCAAAGAAAAAGGGGGACCAACGCCAAGAAAGCACAAAGACATATTACTCGCATTCCCCAAATTTGGAAATGACCAACCACAAGGGCATCCTCACCAAAACCCAAAGCTCCACGTGCTCAGAACACAAACCAGTCAAAACAAAGAAAACACACAAAACCCATGCGGGGAGTGGCACTAAAACCCAGACGGATGACACCCAGTAGAGCATTGTGAGGAACATGCACATCAAGCAGGTTACCTGGCTTCCTACAACTGGGCTATCAGATACTGCCGATTTCACGCACCCGATGAGATCTATTTCTCCATCCTTTTCACGCGGCATCGGAAGCCACTCTCCTTGACAAACTCGGGTTCTTCGGAGGATGCTCTTCAAAGCGAATAGCCCCAAACGAAGGCAGGTGGCAATTCGCTGCTTGTTCAGGCAAAAGACAATTGTATTTCTGCAATTTCTCCAGCAGCTTCCAGGCAGAACGAGGAGCAGCAAAGTAGCTGACTCCGAGACAAGGGGAATCTCATGCCACGGAGTGTGGCGTCAAGCCCGTTGACAATGTGCTTTGATGTCCAATTGTTTGAGTGCAGACGGAGTTGCGGCCTTTCGAGCCTTCTGTGGTACGAACCCCACGTCCCCAGGTCTCATGTCTGGGCCCCCGGCCCCGCGTCAGCATGGCGCCGCCTCTTCGGGGGGAGCTGGGCTCCCCAGCGCGGGGCCGCGCCCGGGCGAACTGCACCTCCGCTCAGCGCAGGGGAGAGGCGAGCGCCAGGCGTGGAGCATACGTTCGCTATGTTCGATGCAGGTTTGGCCCCCATTTAGGCTTGGTCCCTTTGTCGATTTCGACCTGAAGTCATGTAGGTGTGTCGTTGGTCACAACGCAACCACCCTGGTTCCCAGAAGAATCTGGGACACTTCAAAGCAGCGAAAAGGACTTGTTAGACTCCTAACATTTTTTTCTTCGGACTTAGTCAGACGTAAGTTGATATGTACAAAGGTTCTAGTACAATGGCCATCCCAAGACCCCACCAGTGGTCCGCCATCGATATTCATAGCCAGGGGAGTTGTTTAACTTGGGCAACTTGAAAAGCCCCGGCGCTTCTTGAGGTCTAGAAAGGCGACAGATCTTTGTCAACCACATGCATCATGTCTTAAATGAGCTGCCTTTGGTTTCCCTTCAAGCAGGGCCTTGTTTGAACCACTGCCCTATTTTGGGTTGGGGATCCGCCAAATCGCCGCAGGTTGGGGGAAAAAAAAAGACAAGCCGGCGTCAAGAATCAGTGGGGCGAGCCCAAGGCGGTTGGTGCCCGTTGATTGGTTGTTTTTGGTCGGTTGAAATCGTCCGTTAGCCAGAACATCCCAACCCGGCAGAGAGCCCAGTCTCTTTGGGGCGGTGTTCGTTTGAAATTCCTTTTGTCCTTTAAGCCAACCCAAAACGCATTTCCCTCAAGTGCCGACACCAGGTTTGCATAAGTCGAAGAGCAATCCCAAGAAAAGGATCTTGATTGACGCACAGTTCAACACGTAGTGGAGGGGATTTGCCTGAGTAAGCTCAATACGGCTGCTTACCCCATGCCACGGAAAATTGCCCTACTGGTGTAAGATCCTGCCTTGCTCCGGTTTGACAGGGAAGCTTGCCATTCAGAACATGTTGCCAGATTGGCATCTCAAAGCAATAGATTGGTTGGCTCTAGTGGCTGCAAGACCAGGAACGGTATGGATGGATAGTGGACGGATGGATGGATGCTCGCTGGCTGGCTGGCTGGATGGATGGATGTATGGATAGGGCTCTGTGGCCAACGGAAACAGTCCGTCCTGCCATCGCAGGGCCGCCTCCGATGCATGTCATCAGCCACCGGACCGGAAACAATACAAAATGGTTGCCTTAGAAACCACTGAACTTGTGCAAGTAGAATAGACACAGGCCAGACCTGTCTCTCCAACATCACAGCTTTAAGCGGCATGCCGTCCTTTCGTTGAGAATTCTTTGGCGGGACGGACCATGATTTCTCAGTTCCCTTCGGGCCGAGAGATTCCTCCAAAGACTCAGGCATATTTTTGGGAACCCCTCCCAAAGCTCTCGAGTAAAGGTCATGCGTGGGTGTGTGTGTGTGTGCGCGTGTTTTCTGAGGGGAATGACCCTTTCAGGCCGGTTTAAACGGATGCCAAGAGGAAAACCACCATTCTGGAGGTACCCCCCCCCCCTGCACCCCCCCTCCCCATTGTATACTTGTAACTCTTCGAATCAATGAAAAAAGAGAACCACCGCATCCAGGCCTCGGCCCGCAGCCGCGCGTGGGCACCCCGCTCCCCGATGAGTGCGGCGCCCAGTTCCTGCTGCAACGAGATCACGCGGCGCTCGGGCTGAGTTTGTTTTGGTGCCTTCAGGAACCAAAAGGACGCCAACCTTGGGTTGGCTTTTGAGGACCAAGCCGTCGGTCAGATTTCAAAGGGAAACCAAAAGGAAGCCCAACCCTTTTGGAGCTGGGTGTGTTTTTGTTGGCAGCCTTGTGGTTTCCCTGTTAAAACACAGGACATTCGGCCGTGCAGCTAACCAACCGCCCCCTTGTACGAAGATGTACGAAGTAACATTCACAGTGCTG